ATCGGTCCGGCGACTTTTGTCTCAATTTGGTGGAGTCCCTTCCTTGGGAGCCGGCGACGGCTCGGCGCCGCGGGAGTCTCAAGGTCGCGCGCGTCCTTCCTGTGCCGCGGCGGGAAGGGGCCGCGGCGCTGCGCCCTTAATAACGCTGTTGTGCCTTGTTGGCGTTTGTCTTGCCTCTTTTCAGGGAGAATTTAAGGCAGCGGTACCACGTTTTGATTAATAGGTTAACTCAGACTGTATTTGCAGAGGTTATGAAAATAACGCACTGTCCTCGATGTTCGTAGAAGACAGTTTATTTGCAGTTAACCAGAAAGTTAAGTTCATCCTTTAATGAAACCCTTTAAAAAATACTGTTGCCAGGCACTGGGGATTTTAAAATGAATGATAGCTCAGGGGTCTCTAAAAAATGTTAGGCTACAACTAGGGTTAGGATGTAATGAGCAAAAGAAAGGAGCCCGCACGGCCCACCCGCAGGGTCAGGCGGCTCCCGCCGAGTGAGGGGCAGTGTCGCCGCGGAGGGCCGGAGCTGGTCGGTGCAGGCAGAGGCGGGGGGGGCACCCCCGCGCAGGGCACGCGCCGAGGCTGGGGTTCTGGGGTGCAGCCCCGAGTGGGGGCGCCTGTGGGAGGAAATGGGTGCATGTTTCTCCTCCCTCCCCTTCCTCTCTCTCTGAAATGAATAAAAACATATGCTCGGGTGAGGATTTCAGTTAGTGAGTATCCATCTGGGAAAATGAAAAATGATCAGGGTATAGTGTTAAGAAAGTGTTACAAACCCGTGTGTATTATGAACTTAGAGCTATATAGACCGAGATATGAGGGCGAATCCCCTCATTCCTTTAAAATCTCAAATCTCAAATGCATAAACATTTTAGCAGTGAACTAGCTGTGGTGGAGTTGGTGACCTATCACTCTTTATATACTTTTTGGAATTTTTTTCAGTAAACATGTTTTTTATCATCAGAAATTCAGAAAAAAAAAAATCCAATATAAATATTTCCAAATATTGGGAGTGAACACAGAGGAGCACCTCATACATATTTGGGATCAGGGAGTCCTCTTAAAGGCATTTAGGGAGCTGTCCTGAAGGAGTTGGCCAGCTTTAGAAGCCGTTGGAGTGGCCAAAGGCACCAGCTTGACTATCTGTGAGGAAGTTTCTGGGAAACTGCAAAGTGTTCCTTGAAAAGTAGTGTGGATGGAGGCTGGGAATAAGGGCAGAGAGTGGCAAGGGTGAGACGGGAGACTTTTTAGGCCATGACAAAGTCCGTGCAAGGCCAGATATACCTCCTGTGATTGACTTTATTTTGAGTACAGTATGGAATTACAGAAGAAGCAACACAATCAGACTTGTTTTTAAGAAAGAACACTTGGCAGTTGTATAGAGTGGCACAGAGGCAGGCAAGACTAGGCTCAGTGAGGCCTTAGAGTAATCCGGATAATAAATGATGATTGCTGGACTAAGATATTGGCTGGGTAGGGGCTTTGTTCACTGTCAGCGTGGTACCTGATCGGGGCTGTATAAATGACTTTTGAAGTAAATGAAATTTCCCCTCATTTCTTTAAGATCTCAAATACGAGAATGATCACAGATTCAAGGTCGAGAAGGAATTGGTAGCATCCAATTTGTTAATACACACTGAATTAGTTTCTCTCAGTTGTGGTGGGGTGGTTTTTAAAGCCCTTGAGAATTCTGGCAATACTAATTTGCCAGATATAGGGGAAATGAGAGGGAGGTAAAGGGAGGTGAGAGGGAGATAGTGGTCACCACTGAGTAGGGAGCAGGAAGGCTCTAAGGCTCAGTTTCATAATAATACCATGTATATCCTTCTCTGTATATTACAGTTTACATAATCCTCTAATAATCTCTCATTTACTTACCTACAGTCATAAAAGAGATGGTATTTGAACTGGGTGTTAAAAGATAGTACAGCCTGGCCAGGCATAGCTCAGCAGTTGAGCATTGACTTAGAATCCAGGAGATGGTGGTTTGATTCCCGGTCAGGGCACATGCCTGGGTTGTGGGCTTGATCCCCAGTTAGGGGCGTGCAGGAGGCAGCTGATCAATGATGACTCTCTTATCATTGATGTTTCTATCTCTCTCTCTACCTCTCCCTTCCTCTCTCTGAAAATCAGTAAAAATATACAATATTGAAAAAAAAAGGTAGTACAGATGGGTAGTAGTACAGATAAAAGACAAGACACAAAACATAAATAAAAATAACCATTTTTCTTAGTCCATCGGGACTGCTGTAGCAAAATACCACAGACTGGTTGGCTTATTAATTACAGAAATTTATTTTTTATAGTACTGAAGACGAAGCCCGCGATTCTGTGTGGTGAGCGCCCCTTCCTGGTTCACAGATGGAGCCTTCTTGCTCTGCCCTCTGGGATCTCTTTTATAAGGCCACTAAACCAATCATGAGGGTTCCACCCTTGTGATCCAGTCACCTCGAAAAGGCCCCATCTAGTGCCATCACCTTGGGGGTTAGATTATGAATTTGCGGGGGTAGGGACACAAACATTCAGACCATCACACCAATAAAATTAAGAAAAGACACAAGTTCATGATAAATTAGCAGTACCGTGAGATACCATTTTCATCTATTAGATTCGCAAAGATAAAAATGTTTGATAATACATTGCATGGGTGACTATTAATTATTATCACTGTGGGGAAACCAGCATTAGAAATTCTCATTTATTAACCATGGGATTAAATACCTGTGAGTGACAATTACTAATGAATAAATGCACTTGCCATTTTTGGAATAGCAAAAAATTAGAAATAACTTAAATAAATGTCCATTAATAGAGGACTGTGTAAATTACGAGGTAAGCATATAATGGGTTATCATGCAGCCTTTAAAAAAAAAAAAGTTCTTTATACTCTATTATGAAAATAATCTCTTAAAATACGTTTATAGGTGAGAAAAAGTAAGGTACAGAAGATTGTGTATACTGTTACATTTTGTATAAAATAAGAGAAACTGATACACAAAAAAGACATATATATAAAATATCTCTGGAAGCTTACATCTAGTAGCATTGGTTGCCTCCAGAGAGGGAAACTGGATAACTAGAGTCAGGGGTAGGAGAGGTGCTTTGTACTGAGCCCCTTTGTACTTTTTCATTAAAAAATTTTTTATTTTGGCCCTGGCTGGGTAGCTCAGTTGGTTAGAGCATTGTCCCAATATGCCAAGATTACAGATTCCATCCCTGGTCTAATTTGGATTTTACCACCTTTACATGAACTCATTTTGTGTGTGTGGTGTGTGTGTGTGTGACCACACGTAGAGATTTGTGTACAGCTACCCTAATCTGGATACGAAACTGTTCCATAATCAAAAAGAAATTTCCAGGCACTGCTCCTTCATAGTCAGGTCCTAACCCCAGCCTTAAACCCTGGCCATCGCTGATCTGTTCTCCGTTACTAGAACTTGGCCACTTCAACAGTGTTATATAAATGGAACCGTACAGCATGTACCTTTTGAAATTGTTTTTTGTTCTGCACTCAGCATAAATACTGTTGAAATCTCTCTCCAAATTGTTGTGCATATCAATAGTTCATTCTTTTTGATTTCTGAGTAGTATTTCACAATATGGATATACCACACTTGGTAATATCAGGATGGTTAAAGTTTAGCCAGTTGATAGGGATGTAGTGGCTTTCGTTTGAATTCCTCAAATGACTATTGATATTTAACGTTGATTCATGTGCTTATTTGAATTTGTATATCCTCTGATGAAATGTATGTTCATGTCTTTTTATATCTATTTTATAATGGGATTGCTTGTTTGTTTGTTTTGTGTGTGTATGTTTATGGGAGTTGTGTTTTTTACTGTTGAGTTTAAACAATATCCTTATGTAGTCCAGATATAAGTCCTTTGTGGGGATACGTGTTTTGGAAATATTTTCTCGCAGTCTGTGACTTGTCTTTTCTTTCTTTTTTTAAAATATCTTTATTGATTTCAGAGCGAGGAAGGGGCACTATTTTTTTTTAGTATGTTCTCATTGATTTGAGAGAGAAAAAGGAAAAGAGAGAGAAAGAGAGACGTCAATGATCAGAGAGTCGTTGATCGGCTGCCTCCTGGATGCCCCCCACTGGGGAGTGAGCCCGCAACCTGGGCATGTGCCCTGACCAGGAATCGAACTGAGATCTGGATGCTAGGTTGATGCTCCACCACTGAGCCACGCTGGCCAGGCTAATTTTTCTTTTCTTAACTGGGTCTTTTTCAGAGCAAAAGTTTTTATTTTTGATTAAGTCCAATTTAATCACTTTTTAAAAAAGGATTGTGGTTTTGGTGTCAGATGTAAGAACTCTAGCCTAACCCTAAGTCATGAAGATCTCCTAATTTTTAAAATTTTTGTTGATTTTTAGAGAGAGAGGAAGGGAGAGGGAGAAAGAGGGAAACATCAATGTGAGAGCGGAACATCCATCTGCTGCCTCCTACATGCCCCCCGCCCGAGATCAAGCCCAAAACCTGGGCATGTGCCCTATCCAGGATTCAAATAGGCATGAAAAACTTTTACATGCACATTACTTATTTTTACTAATTACAATTTCAGAAATGTCTGATTAGAGTTAGATGGTGGAATACAAGACCTTTATTTTATATTTTAGAATAAAATCCAGGATTAAGAAAAGAAGCCTTTTATTTATCAATTATAATATAAGATTGGCATATAAAACAGTTTCTTTAAATACTTGTATATTAGGGATTCATACTGTGCTTTCTCTAGACATTTAATTTTTTCTCCCAGTTTACTTAGAGAATCAGCTCCGTTGGACTCTACAAATTAAACCGTGGGTTTTCAGTAGATATAGAATCATGCGGCTCATATCCTATAGAAGGACTTTTGCCTCCTTGGATACAATGAAAAGTTACAGGTAAGCTTATTCACTACCATGGCAAATGTTTACATAATTATGTGAATAATAGTTTTATATTGGTCGTGTTTAATAAACCCTGTCAGTATTTAATAGCTCACGTGTTTTGATTAAGGTACTTTTATCTAACTGTTGTTATTTTTCCACCGACTTTTAAGTTTGGAATATTTCATACCCACAGAAAAATTATAATACAGAATGCAGTGCATACCCTTTATCTATATTCAAACTTTATTTTTATTTTTAATATGGGACTATATGGCTTGGAGAAGTACTTTTTACTTCCTCATAATATCCTCATGACAGGACACAGATAATGCAGTTCTTAAAATTATAAATGATTTGGGTGTAACACAAATAGTATGATAAAATGAGTAAGTATATATTTTAGGTAGTGAGATTGAATCAAAGTAATGGAAGCAGGCGGGCTACTCAGAAGGCTGGGGTGGTGATTCCAACAAGAGGCAAGGGAGCTTGGATGCGGAGGAGAGCAGGAATGGGGGAAAGAAGGTAGGGGCACCTGGGTTCCAATCCTGACTCCACCACTTAATCTCTCTGCGCTTCCCTTTTCTTATCAGTGTAATAGAGATAGTAGTACGTACCTGCCTTTAAAGTTGCCGGGAAGATTAAATGAGATGACATATGACATATGTCAAGTTCTTAAATAGTCACGGCGTTTAGTAAGTGCTCAATAAACAGTTACTGCTACCACTACTGCTACTGTTAATATTATTAAATGTGACTCAGAAGGCTGTTTCATTTTTATTGTTACTTCATTTTTATTGTTACTTACTTTGAAAGCAAATTCATTGTTTCATCTGTGAATAAAATGTACTTACAAGCAGTGAGATTATTAGGAAAATTGGTTTTGATGCATCAAAAATGAGCAATACATGTACTTAGAATCTAGTAAATTGTAAACTAGAATATCTTTCTACATAATATATTCATGTTACATTTTTAAAACCAGCAGTTTTTGTCTGGCTTTTCATGTCTACCCCTTAGATACCCTTGGACAAGACTGTACAGTACTTCTCAAACCACTGTAGACAGCAATGAGGTAAAAAACTTCCTGGCCCTGGCTCACAAGTGGTGGGATGAGCAAGGAGTATATGCACCTCTTCATTCTATGAACGACCTAAGGGTGCCATTTATTAGGTAATGTTCCAGAAATTCTAAGTCTTTTAAAATGCAAGTTGTTTTAATAATTCATCTTCTTTTCAGTTCATTTTTCTCTTGGATTATATCTAGGTTCAAAATGTTGTATTTTAAGTTCACTTTAGAAATTAGGGAGATTCTCTTCAATGTCTGTTGTTTGAAACCATTAATTTTTAAATAACATCCAAGTTCTAGGCTGCTTTTGTAAATTAACTTGAAGCATTTTCGGACATTATCTGGTTAATTAGAATTAAACCCTTAGGAAAAGGAACTAGGGTTCTATGGCATCAAGGTGATTTTACAGCAACTTTGACCTTTAGGCAGTCCTGATAAAGGGAATACTATTGAGATAGTTCCATTCAACAAATATTTATTGAGAACTTACTTTGTACAGAGCTTGGGGCTAGACACCAAAAGCTACTAAGACATTCATCATTCGAAACACAGTCCATGTACTTCAGGAACGTATAGTTTGCTTCAGAGGTCAAGGCAAGAGTTCATTAGACTCCATTGATCAAATTGTTCATCCGTTCTTGTGTTTGTTCATTTATTTGTTCATAGAACATTTTTGAGCCCCTGGCATGGGCATGGCACTGTAATAGACACAGAATATCAAACTCAGACTGCCCTCAAGGCACTTCCTGATTGGCTTTGGCTGGTTCATCCAGAATCAATGCAGCACAAAGGAAAATATTGGCACCTTTTTATTATCACTGAATGTGTGGATCACTGAAACACTAAGGCAGAGAAAAGCGAAATGTCATTCTTTACGTTAGATCAGTGGTTCTCAAGGTGTAGGCCCTGGACTGGCAACATCAGTGTCACCTGGGAATTTGTTAGAAATGCTGGACTTACTGCTTTGGGGGAGAGAGGTCATCGGACTGCGTTTTTAGCAAACCTTCCAGATAATTCTTTTATACTCTCAGCTAGGGAACTACTCTATTCAAACTACCATGACACCTTCATTTAGACTACTCTAAAATAGATCACCCAGGGCAGTGAAGGTTATGGTTAGAAGTTTACATTTTATTCTAAGCATAATTAGAAGCCATTGAAGGGGAACAATATGACCAAAATTATGGTGTAAAGTAGTTATTTTGGCTGATGTGTGAAGAATGGATTGGATTTCATTAGAAAGTCTTTTCTATATGTTATAACATTCTGAAGTTATCTACTTAACCACCATCTAGGCTATTCTTAGAAGTCAATTAATTTTAATAGCAATAAAAGATATCCTAAGATATCCTTGTTATCTATAACACAAAAGTTTGGTGTGTGTGAGAGAGTGTGTGTGTGTGTGAGTGGGTGTGTGTGCACGTATGTTTGCATATGTGGTAAAGTATTACTATGATTTTCTTAGAATTAAGTTTACCTGATTCGGATGCCTGTTTACATGGTCATAAAAATACCACTAACTTAGAAAATTAAAAACGACCCAATTTAGAAGGGAATATAAGCAAATTCTGAAAATACAAGTTTCCAATCTGCTTCTTCTAAGCCCTGTAAAATAACCTATTTGTTGCAGACATGAAATGGGTGTAGCAAGTACTGACAATGTAGCTAATAGGTGACATGATATCTCAAGCAAATAAATTTGGTTAATCTAAACTAGATTATTTTTAAAGTTTTTCTTTAGATTATGACTAACAATTAAGTCTTAATTATTGCTAGGTTATTTTAAGAGCTTTACTTTAAACCTCCTGCTTTTGATTATTAAACATATCTTATAAATTAAACATAGTTATTTAATGCTGAAAATAAAAGTCCTGTTTACCCAAAAATCCAATACTCCATTTTAAAGTGAGAGTTTAATATTTCATTGAAATTGTATACTTTTAAGACTTAATTGATAAAAATCAATAATTTTTAATATGTTTTGAATTTTTTAAAAAGAGACAGTCTTTTAAAAACAATTGCTAATCACCAGCCAGGAAAACCTTTGTCTGGGATGAAGATTCTTGATGTTGGCTGTGGTGGTGGATTGTTAACTGAAGTAAGTGATTTACAACTTTCCTGCCATTTTTTACTGGGGAAAAAAATAAATGTAAGAAGTAGACTTATGCCTCATATGGTTTATTTAAAAAATGCCTGTTTTTAATATTTTTATTATTATGAAAGTAATATATTTTCTTTAAAAATATAAAAAGTTCAGAAAATTATAGTGAGGGATTATTTATTTCTTTATTCTTTTAACACTGAATGAGGCACTGGTTATTGAATAGCTTTGGAAATTTTGTTGTCTCCTGGAAGACAAATCTCTTTCTGAAGATTTGCTTTAGCTTATAGTAAATTTATACTCTGCAGCTTTATTTTGTATTCTTCTGTCAACACAATAACTTTCTCTTTCAATTCTGCATCATAATCTGGTCTCTGAGAGATATTTTAAGCCACAGGTTAGGATATAAATGTAAGTGAAGGTTCAATGGAATATAATCTGTCAAGGCCCCTTCTAGCAAGTTGAGAGGGAGCCTAACAGAGGCCTTTGATGAATAGCTGGTTCCACATGCACAGAAAACATGTTCTTCATATGGCAGTGGACTGGTCTCTCTAACATCAATTATAAAATTTCAGGAAATGTAAAATATGTGAAAATACATCCCTTAGAATCAAGAATAGGTGGTATATCAAATTATAGATGAGTGAGATTTTACTGTATGTGTTCTACAATCTTCTTGGTGTATTATTGCAGATTTTATGTCTCTAAAGTTAAAATAATTTGCTTTATACTTTTGAGTTACTGACTGAAGAGTTGTAAAATAAATGCTATGCAAGTTGTTGTTTTTTTTTTTTTAATATACCCCTATTGATTTCAGAGAGAGGAAGGGAGAAGGAGAGAGAGAAAGAGAGAGAGAGAGAGAGAGAGATAGAAACATCAATGATGAGAGAGTCATTGATTGGCTGTCTCCTGCACGTCCCCTACTGGGGATCGAGCCTGAAACCCAGGCATGTGCCCTGACCCGGAATCAAACTGGGATTTCCTGGATCACAGGTAGATGCTCAACCACTGAGCCACACCGGTCAGGCTTTATGCAAGGTTTGATAAATAGTAAGGCTGTTTTTAAAAACTTGAGCATGTCATTGGAAGTGATTGAATATAAAAGTTGAAAGAAGACTTAGCTATGAAAAATCATTTCTCATCATTCGTGGGAAAAGCTATCAAGAAAAAATTGATAATTTGGGTAAGATAATTTTACTGTTTTTACAATATGTTACATTTAGTGCACTTTAAATATGTCAATACTGTACTATGTACATGTTAGATGTACCTAGAAAATACAGACAATTTTTTCACTATTCTCAAGCAGTTCTGATGAGTTTTATTGTGATTATTTTTCTCACTTTTAAGCTTTTTATTACGGAAATTTTCAAATGTGTGCAAACTAGAGAAAATGGTATAATAAACTTCCATGTTCCCATAAATGATCTCCAGTAACTAACCCCTCATGCTTAACCTTGTTGCCTTTTTTATAAGATTTTGTTGCTAACGTTGTTCTATTTTGTTCCTGAGAGTAATGTTCTTTCAATCCCGCCAGCCTTTAGGGCGGCTGGGGGCCTCGGTGATTGGAATTGACCCTGTGGATGAGAACATTAAGGCAGCACAGCGCCATAAGTCATTCGACCCAGTCCTGGCTCAGAGGGTGGAGTACAGAGCGTGTTCCCTGGAAGAGATCGTGGGAGAGACTGCAGAGACGTTTGATGCTGTCGTAGCTTCTGAAGTCGTAGAACACGTGGTGGACCTGGAAACGTTCATACAGTGCTGCTGTCAAGTGCTGAAAGTAAGACTTACAGAGTTCACTTGTTTGACTTCTCTTTTCAACGTGTGTATGTCTCCATAGCAATAAATGCTTCATAATACTTGAAACCAGGGAGCCAGGACCGGGGGGCAGCATCTCTGCTGGAGATTACTTCTGCCTCTCAGCTTGCCCTCAGTACTGGGGTTTTCCAGATCCAGTGTCTTGAGGTTCAGGGAGCTTAAAAAATGTTGGTGCCGAACATTATAATACAACCAATAGATTTAGAGTGGTATTTTTCTATTGGTATAGTCTAGATTAAATACCTAATAGACACTGAATGACAATTAGTAAGAAATTGGTTTGAATTAATATTTAAAAATCAATACTCATTATTAGCATAAACTGACTTAAAATTATTTGTTAGTCCTATGTGATATGTATAAAAGTTTTCAGCTTTTAAAAGAATACTTCATGCATATGATCTCACTTGATCTGACCTACAGCCCGGTTTGGAAGGTAAGGAGGGCATTGTTGTGACCTCCTTTGACCAATGAAGATCAGAATTTGGGAGATGTCAAAGGTCACTTGGTCTTTAAGTCAAAGGTCACTAGGTACTAAAGTGGGGTTTGAGGCTACATCCTTTGACTCCAAGTCTGGTGTTTCCCATTACATTATCATCTCTTATCATTGGCCACAGACTTTGTCCTCTGAAAGTGATTCCAAATTTTCTTTTAATAAATCCCCCTAAAGTATAATTATTATTATTACTATTATTATTACTATATTGGCTCTGTTGCTTATGAATTCAAGAGGTAACACCCTAAGGTCAAGAGCTAAAAGAATGCAATGATTAGCACTTACCTAAATGGAGCTTTTTAAAAAAATTTTTTTAAAATAATTTTAGATTTATGGAAGAGTTGCAAAAATAGTAGTGTTTGCATATACACTTCACCCAGTTTCTCCTACTTTTAACAGTTTTTTCCCCTAGCTCTATTAAGATAAAATTGACACATAAGTGATTCTTAAGATATTTTAGAATACTGGAGTTATACAGAGAAAAGTTACAATGTGTGATGAATAGTGTTTGATATTTCAGTTTTTTCATTTAAGTGTACTGGGCAATATTTCAGGGCCTTCTTTTTTCTGTTTTTGGTTTGGGGTGGTATTTGCTATATATTTTCTCTCTCAGTGGAGCAAAAGTGGGCTTACAATTGTTGGTATGGAAAATAATACAATAATTAATAAATAATAATACAAGAGTAAGCTCTGTTTTGCATACCAAAGACTGTAAGCCCACTTTTGCCCCACCCTGTAGTAGTGATGTGATTATTTCCTTGAGACTCTTTGGCATTTCGTCCTCACCAGGCTAATGGCAATGTGTAAAAGACAAAGGAGGTGCTAATGTCCTTGCTATTTGTGGGAATAAATATAGGAAACACTATAAATATAGTCACTAAGGAATGGCAGACTGAACAGTTTCATAAATGGCTTGTATTTATCTGAAGTGCTTATCTCGGTCTCTTCATTTTCTTTTCTTTTTTTAAATGTATCTTTATTGATTTCAGAGGGAGGAAAGGAGAGGGAGAGAGAGATAGAAACATCAATGATGAGAGAGTCATTGATCGAGCCCACAACCTGGGCATGTGCCCTGACCGGGAATCGAACCCCGATCGCCTGGATCCTAGGTTGACGCTCAGCCACTGAGCCACGCCCGGCCAGGCTCTTCATTTTCTTTATACCTGTGATTTCAACCTTTTGCGTCTCATGGCACACATAAACTAATTACCAAAATTCTGCACCCCACCAGAAACTATATTTTTTACTGGTCTGACAAAAAAAAAAAATAGATATAATTTTGATTCATTAACATCAGATGGCTACTGTTGTGTTGGCTGTTGTCATTTTTCTATTTTATAGTCTAAGGGGAAAGAGGTCAGTGCCCCTGATTAAATAGTCAGGTATTGCGTGTTTTAAAAGTTCTTATGGCACACCAGTTGAAAATTGCTGCTTAATACTAATGAAATAAAATCAAAACAAAAAATTTTCAAACCTCAATCATTAATGCTTTTGTCAAAGACCAGCCACTGGAGTTGCTCACCTGCACAAGATGTGGAGCTGTACACTGTACAAACAAGTTAGACTCCCCACCCGAAGAGAAAGCAGTGTTGACACACGTTAAAAGATAAATGTGGACGTGTAACAGGAAGTGCAGCCTGATCTCATGTATTTATTTTTATTATAAAGTATTTGATACGTACAAAGTGATGTGTATAATATAAACATATGTCACAGTAATGTACAGTTTTAAGCGTCGTAAGCACTGTTGCATAAACTCAGTGAGTGCATTGGTAGTGGACTGCCTTTAGTCATGAATTTCCCAAGAGAAAAAAATACTATTTTGGTAAATTATATTTTATTCATACTTATGTATCTTAACTGCACTTAAATTATTTGGAAGGAAGGAGGGTGGGGGAAGCCAAGCCTTTACCTAACTGATGCTCCTTACATTTAAAATTTTACTTTTATTCATATATTTTTTAGCCCGGTGGTTCTTTATTTATTACTACAATCAACAAAACACAGCTATCCTATGCCTTGGGAATTGTTTTTTCAGAGCAAATCGCAGGTATTGTACCAAAAGGTACTCATACCTGGGAGAAGTTTGTTTCACCTGAAAAGCTAGAGAGCATTCTGGAATCAAGTAAGTATTAAGGAGTTTTTCAATTTTCAAGGCCTAGCTGAACTTTTAATGTACTTATAATTATTAATCACACAGCCTAGTACTTAATTAAGTAGGACACAGTCCTTTGGATGTTGATTTCAACTCCTCAACTAGATCATAAACTGCTTGAAGTTAGGATTAAGTATTAGATGCCACTTCTCTCTAAGGATGAGGTACAAATGTCCTGTGGCGGCCCTCCTTGTATCAGCTTATTGTACACGTTAGTTTTCCTGATTCCCCCATATATTTTGAACTTTCTTGTCAAATTTTATGTATTTTATGCTACTTATAGCATGCCTTATATTATGGTTATTTTGGTGTTTTTAAGCCCCTCTCTGGCCTATAACCTCCTTGAAGTCAAAACTATGTCTCCTTTTTGTACTTACGGCAGAGCCTAGTTCTGCTTTATTACTCATCATGAACATTGAATTTATGCGTTGGACTCCTGTCAAGTAATAACATTTATCAGTTCATTTATTTGATACTTGGTATTCCTGTTAAGTACTTAGGCTCATGTTTGTTCGTGCTTTTTGTTCTTAAGACAGTGTATCAATAAACTTGATTTTACTTGGAATATTACCAGTCCAACTCAATGTAGTAAGTTCTAAAGATTTCTGCAGGTAACCTTGTTGAAAATAGAATAGAGAAAATATTTTATAGATGCTTAATAGGAACAATCACTTGTTGGCAGGTATGTATTTTCTAAAAAAAGCTAATGTTTATTGAGTACTTAGAAATTCCAAGCACTGTACTACTTTATACACATATCTCATCTAATTCTGACAACTCTGATATATGTTCTGTCCATGTGAGAAAACTGACATTCAGAAAAGTGAAGTGACTTGCCTAGGGTCATTTAATAGGTGCCAGAGCTGGGATTTGAACCCAAGCAGATGGCTTTAGAGTTTACGTTCAGTGCTGCAGTAAAGAATGATCAGCACATGGTTACGAAGTATTTTTGCCGGCTGAGTTAGGAATCCTTTTTTAACATGGAGAGTTACATGAGACTCTTGACGCTTGGGAAGGTAAATATTTATTAAATCTACTCTTTGTGATACGTTTTTCAGATGGTCTGTCAGTTCAGACTGTGGCGGGAATGATCTACAACCCCTTCTCAGGTTATTGGCATTGGAGTGAAAATACCAGCCTTAACTACGCAGCCCATGCTGTGAAGCAGGAGCCCCTGGTGCCTGCTGAGTTTGTTTTAAAGGGGGACACAGAAGAGCTCCAAGCTCAAGCCTCTACCGACCCAGCTGTGCACGACCAGCTGAAGAAATGAATGTTTCTAAGGACTGTGGGAATATGGCTTGGAAGCCTGATGTTTTGTAAATACAGAAAATATACAATTTAATTTTTGAGAGAGGATCATGAAGAAAAGAAAGTCAGTTTTTAAACAGGGCTAAAAACCTTGAATAAAAGTTGTTGTTTCATCTACTAGCTACTTTCAAGGGATTATTCTATGGATAAAAAGTTTTGTTCAGGTTTTGTGTGATTTAGGTGTTTAGATTGTTCAGCCTTTGTTATATAAATAGGGTATGCATATGTCACTCCATATTACTGATTATATATATATATATTTTTTTTCCTAGCATGTATGCACATACATATGTGCTATAATGTGTTTAATTTAAAGGAATCTGTATTATCTGTGTTCTCTATTTGGTTTTAGTTAAAGACAGTTATGCTTCAGACTGATGAAAACCAAGCTAATTTTATACTACTTATATTTGGGTAGATAAAATATATTTTTTCCTTTAAATTTTAATTTGTTGGGAAGCAAGTGGATTGTTAAGTATGCGCTGGATTTGGATTTAACAGTAAAATCCAGAAGTTCAGATCACACTGACATGCTTCTCTTTCTTGTTCCATAAATGTGTTATGGTGCCCCCCCCCTTTTTTTAAGTAGAAAGGATTTTTTAAACTCAATTTGAAAATCCAGTTATGGAAATATCCTTTTTCAACTAATTTTTATAATGAAAGGGACTGACTAAAATACATTTTTGCCTCTTGACGTATCAGTCTGGCTTTTCTGAAGTCTGTTGCACTGTAAGGACATTCATAGGGGGTGTTGGCCAGATGAGAAAACATGGATTGAATGCACAGGACCCAGGTGGAAGGGTAGCTTTTACTTTAGAGCCTTTTTTCACTTTCAAGTAGATATGTTTTCCGTATTCCTTTGTCAATGTTTGTTGGATTTGGCTTCTCAGGCAAACACTTACCAGCCATCTTGGCTTATCATTTTCTTGTTCTCAGTAGCATTTCTGGAGAGGAAACTGAAATTTAAAGAATTAAGAGAGAAAGTTTAACTTTAGTTGCTAATGTTGAATTAGGACACTAAAAATTAGGAGTTCCTGTTGGCCTGCATTTAAAAGTTTGATTCTGAGTCTGAATTCTGGTAGTTTTATTCCCGAAGAAAAGCCTCCTCATTCTAGCTGTTGGAAAAAAAATGTTGGTATTAAAGATTAATCCAAGAAACAAGCAATGGAACTGATAAAAAAGCAGTTCCCCAAACAAAGTGCCTTTATTATAGAAAGAGAGCTCTAACTTGCCGTTATTAAAAGTATTTATTAAGTGCTAAAAATTCAGGGTGATTCAGTAATAGAACAGTTCTTTACAGGTCTTTTTCATTACTTTAAACTTTATAAGATAATTATAAAATAATTTCAGACTTACAAAAACCATTCCAAAAGTAATCCAGAGGGTTCCCATACTTCACTCATCTTCCCCAAATGTTAACATCTTAACTACAATACAGTGATAAAACCAGAAAATTTACTTTGATACAACATACTAATCTAATCTACAAACCTTATTTGAAATTGTTAATTGTCCTCCTGGGGTCTTTTTTTTGGAAACAAGATTCCACGTTGCATTAAATTGCCATGTCTTCTTAGTGTCCTTTAATTTGGGACAGTTCCTCAGTCTGTCTTTGTCATTTATAACTTTGACACTTTAACCTATATAAATACAGCTTTTCTTTAAGTTCTGAAAAGTATTTATTCTATCTGTCTTTATCCAACTATTCTCATTTCCCCCTTATTTTTTCCATCAATGCTACCTGGACCTGAACCCCATCAATCTGATTCCTGATCCTGTGCACTTCACCACTTTTATACTTGTACCTGGTGTCTATGGTTTCATATGGGCATAGTGACACCATTGTAAAGATCCGGTTATTATGTAACAGGAAAGGAGTAAAGGGAAGACTAGATAATATAGGCATGCCATTTATACAACTTTGCTAATTTAACACTCTCCAAGTCTGTTCCCTGCTGATCTATGGGAGAAGGGACTGGACAAAAGCAATTTGGACACATACCCAGTAAGATCTGAGTGCCATGGGAAGGTGCCTATTGTCGGTCACACATGGGATGGGCGTGGCCCTGCAAGGGCAAGAAACCTGAATATTTAAACTCCTAGACAAAGGAGCATGCTCTCTTGGCTCTTGGCCTTTGGCCCTCTGGTCCTCCTGGCTTTCCTGTTGCAGGGGGTGCATTCCCTGGCATTTGCCCATGTGGCCCACAGCTGTATGGGCTCCACACAATGGACTAATGGACCTTAATTAGCCTGGATGCTGACCTGGACCCAGCTGCAACATGGAATGGAAGCTCTGGACACTGGCCTTGCTTTTGGCTTTGCTGAACCTCCAGCCGTACCTCTTTCAAGACTGGGTTAAGGAGCATGGGACTTGCAACCCAAGAAATACAATTCCACACCAATAAAAACCATTCATCTCCCTTGTCAATCTTAAAAAATTATTTTTCTGGAGATATCGCAAGAGCCACCCCCTCCCATGAGCAACATAGAAGTTCAGTTCTCTGGTAACAATAGTAGTAGCATAACCACACACCACTAGATTATTATCACATATTTGAATTGTCAGTTTGCAAGGTAGCATCTCCAAAAGCAAATCAAACAGAGCTTCAGGAAGTCTGGAGTCTGAGCTCTTTGCTTCAGTTCTCTTAGAGCTTCATTGCCCTTCTATGTTTAAAACAGCTGCGTGCTGCCCGGCCGGGCGTGGCTCAGCGGTTGAGCATCAACCTAGGATCCAGGAGATCGAGGTTCCATTCCCAGTCAGGGCACATGCCCAGGTTGCGGGCTTAATCCTCGGTATGGAGCATGCAGGAGGCGGCCAATCAATGGCTCTCTCATCATTGATGTTTCAACTCTCTCCCTTGCTCTCTGAAATCATGAAAGAAATATTTAAAAACAAAAAAAAAGGCTGCATGCTACTTATTGCAACTTAATGTTTTAAATACCATGAAAAAAATTATACTCTTTCTATGTAATAGTTTATAATATTGTGTTAATGATAAATTAAAAAGTATTGAGTTAAAATACTACACATCAAAAATAGTCAAGCAAAAACGTAAAAAAATGTCGACAGTGTTTGAAATGTCTTTGATGTGTGCTAGGAACACTTACGAGGACTTCTGAGCCACTCCTGACCTGGAACACAAACAGCACTGAGAGAATCAAGTAGATTTAGAGATACTGCTCTAACCAGGGTCCAGCCATGCTTACTGGAAATTTTTTAAACCTGGACTGGTGAGATTTCTGCAATTCCATAAAATATTTGCATCATTATAGGCTTACAAAAGTAGGTCTAAAAATTTAAGAATCCTAAGAAAATGTCAATGTAGAAATAATGATGGACACAAGACCAAATGTTAGTACAGTCACGCACAATTGCTTATATTAACTTGCAATGTGACTTTATTAGAAGAGAGATTCTTATTTGAATATTATTTTTTATTAAACTTATTGGAGTGACATTGGAGTTAATTCTTATTTGACTATTAATAATAGGAATCAAACTACATTCAAACCTCTGTGTCAAAAAACGAAACAAAAAACATCCTGCCACTGACGGTTTGCATGAAATTCAAGCAAAGGAATTTATTGTGAGATCAATAAACCTCTTGTATTCCAGCAATAAAAGGATGCAACCCTTATAAATGATCCACTGTCTAGAAGCTAAAAGGCACCAGCTGGACCCAAAGAAAAGGGTATGTTCTCAAGATGATGTGGGAAGAGCTGAGAACGGGGGTGGAGAGTTACACGGTCAATATGGACCCCAGGTGTCTCCACTTTGCTGGCTTTGAACCCTTGTTTCCTGTTGGCAGACAGGACCTAATGGACGCAGAGCTAACTGACAACACGCAAGACCTCCACTGGCCTTTCCTGACTCTAAAGCAGGCTCTGTATCTGAGGTGCGCAGAAAGGCTTCCAAGGTTACAGGAACTCCCCAGAAATAGGGAGCAAAATTGTGTGTATTTTTCTGCTGAGACTGTCCCATAGTTTTCATCAGAGTTTCAAAAGGGTTCATGACCCCCCTCCCCCCACAAAGGTTAAAAATTACTGCACTAAAATACTGCTGTGGGGAAATAAAGCCTTTACTTGACAGAGTATGTCAGGAAAAGAAAAATATGGTCCCTCTATCTTCTGCCTATATTTTGTAAAAGTTACCACGAAGGCTGTCAAAAGTTGTGAAAAGCAAAAACTGGGACATGATTTAACTTGTTTCTTTTTGGTCATTCTTTCGATATTGAATTGGAGAGGCATTCTGGGATTCTGTTTTTAGACTTAGTTTTGTCAAGGTGAGATGCTGGAAGGCCAGTCTGGAGTACTCCTCAGATTCATGCAATGTTTAAAGAATTTGAACTCATAAAAACATATCGCTGACTTTATATTTTTCTCTGTCATAAAAGTTTATTATAAGACAATGATTTCAAAATACTGTGTTATATTGCAGTATAATACACTTTAAAGAGTTAGACAAGGGGCTTAATAGTCTAGAAAATATGGATACATTAGTAAAGATCATTGTGCTTTTAATTTCCTATATGTAAAAGTAACTTGTCAGGGTCTGAGTATGGGATTTTACTGTTTTAAATGTTGAGATAATTGATCCTCAGTCTTGAAGTAGCTTCTTTACGTCCCTAGTTACAGGACTTCTGTTCAGCTAGTCTTCAGATGCTTCTCCAGGTGGACTGTTCTATGATTTAGTTGTAATTTTGATGTGGTCATGGGAGGAGGTGAGCGCAGTGTTTACCTCCTCCATCATCTTGACTGGAACTCCTGCTGATTTTATTTTTAATTTTTAAAAATTTATCTTTAAGTTGAAAGTATTACAGATGTCCCCCTTTTCCCCCCATGCCCCCCTCCATCCTATCCCTGTGCCCCCCCAGGCTTTCACCACACTATTGTCTATGCCTGTGGGTTATGCATCTATGCATATAAGTTCTTTGGTTAAATAGAGATAAATAGATTAATGGGTTGATGGCTGGGTGAAGGGATGAGGGACGCAGGGGTGATGAGAGATACTCAACAACAATGCTGTTAAAGAGCCTGAGATTTCCAAGCAGCTCTTCGCCCCCCCCCCACCCGGTGGCCTCCAGACCACTGCACAGCCCTTTGCCCCACGCAGGCCTCTGCTGTCCACCTGAGCACCCACAGACCTGGCAGTTTTGCACCCGTGCTTTCCCTGAGAACCCATCAATAGAGGCTGAACCTAATCCTCTGGAGGGAAAGCTCTCTATATCCCTGAGAGGACATCTTCCTCTGAGATGAGTCAGTTCAGGCCCAGGTAACAGGCACTGCAGGGACCTGCGGGGCCAAATGCACGTGACATTTGTGTAGCCCGATAAGGGTCCCTGCTACCCCTAGTCACTGCTCATGATTTAGACACCCCAAACCAATTCTCTCCCTGTAATCTCTTCCTGAGGCTGTTTCTTGAATTCACTTTCCGTGACTCTACCTCCCACTGTTCCTTCTCCGACGTTTTTCTGCTGCAACCTCTATAAGTCCCGTTTCACGATTTACCAATTACCCTCCTTCTCAAGT